AGAAAAATTTTATCATTGACGAGAATTTCTCTCATTTCAGGTCAATGGCAAGGATGTTGCGAACAAGGAACAGACTGAAATTATTCGCAGAGACAAAGAACGCAGTGACAATTCTCGTCAGCCGATGTGTATATCAAGTTCGTTTTTATTCTACATATTATTATAATGTTTCAAACTCAACATGTGATCAAATAAACATAAAAAAACTATATTATAGAAATGTAATAGGGCTCACATAATAATAATAATAATTTTTTTAAAGAAAGATATTTTTCTAATAAGATAGAATAAAGATAAAAATGTCAGTATAATAAAGAATAATTGTGATAACTTAAAATTAACAAATAATTAGAAATAAAAAGAACAATAAAGGATTCTAATAATTCAAAATAAATTCTAATTCTAATTCTAATTCAAATTCTAATAATTCAAAATAAATGAGGACAGACGTATGTGAGGAAAGCCGAGCCAGGTCTTCCTGCTTGAAATAATATTTAATCAACAATATCTTATGTTAACGTTTCGATCTTCATACATTCTAGGTCATCTTTGGTGTTCTAGAAACAATAAAAGAACGAAGACGTAACGCGTAGTTAAATTTTTTCTTAAATAATTATAATTTTTGTAATTTTTTAAAGAAACAATTGTCATTTTTTTTTATACAAGTGAAACATACACAAGATATTTTTTGCATATATCAATCAATTCATTTATTTTATTTTAGGACGATGAATATGATGACAGGCGCATTTATCATCAGGTAAGTCAAAGTACATAAAACAACGAAAAAGTTTTCGATATGTTCGTATACAGATATCGATTATATTTCGCTTCAGAATTCGCCTCTACCTTCGCCCGAAAACGTACCAGCCTATCAGAATAGCATGATCGAGCAATTGATTCGTCAACAACAGCAGCAAACGGAAGAGTGTGCCAAAGAGAGCGAAGTAAACAATTGCATTTTAAAAGCGCCTCCACCCATACCATCTCATACTCATCAGCAACAGCAGCAATCCGTCAACATTTTTTCCACAAACTCATCATCCACGTGCTCGTCACAAAACTCACATAAGTCTGGCAAGAATGCAACCTCACCGGCACACACGGAGGAGCGTAACAAACAATGGATGCAAGAATCATTAAAGGATTGTTCGAAGAGGCTCGAAAGTATATCACTACGCGGCCAACAATCTGGTCCGCCAGCGGCGACACCACCATCAGTAAAACTCATCGAAGCGTATTCGAACCATGTGTGGAGCGATATCGAACATATCTATGAAACGATACCAGAATCAGACAGCGAACCGATCTATTCGTCACCATACGAACACCATCAACAACATTGGATGCAGCAGGCAAATCATGTTATTGCCTCGACAACACAGTTACAGCATATTGGTACCACGCAAAATCATCTCGCTGGTGGACAGCAGATTCAGAAATGGCATTCTTCTTCGAAAAGCAACAGCTCTGGCGAAGAAAAAGACAGTTCGAGTGCTTATAACACCGGCGAATCTTGTCATAGCAATCCTTTAACTCTAGAATTACATCAAGGTGAGAGGGATCATCACAAAAGTACATTGGTGTTATGTCCGCCGAAAACATCGCAGCAACAACAGCAGAAATTGCTCGGTTGCAATTGTCCCATGCCGAGCGCGACATCCGTGATAACAAGACAATCGTCGAAGAATCAGAGCATAAGGAAGGGTTCGCATCATCATAGAGATCGTAATGAGTCTTTGTCGGTAAATGTTAATACGCTGCCAGCTGATACTATGTACACGAACGTGGCAAATCTACAGCAGACAATGATGTTACAACAACAATTATTCAAGCAAGCACTCAACCGTAAGACTCTCACGACATCTAGGGAAACGGCGAGCGGTACAAGAAAGTCTAAGTCACATGGCAATTTCCAAGCACCAAATCTCACACAATACCAATTTGTCAGTAGCCAACAAGTATGCACATCCACGTGTGTACCACCGGAAGACAAAAGCGAGGTACAGATGGAATGGAAAGTAAAAAGAAGAGCAGATGGAACAAGATACATCGCTAGGCGCCCTGTTAGAAATCGGATACTTCGAAATCGAGCGATTAAGATAACTGAAGAGAGAGCCGGTCATACTACTGAAGACGATACTATGTCAGAAATGAAAGTGAGTTCCAATTATAATATAATTATAGATAACATAGTAATTATGTATAGATACCTAAAAAAGACAATTTTACTTTTGTTCATAATATTGCACATATAAAGAGCATATTGTACTGGCACAACTTTTAATTTTTATAATATATTTTTAAATATATATTTAAATATATTTATAATATATTTTTAAAATTTCTTTTTGCACACGCTTTAGACTTAGACGAATGTGATTCAGATGGCAAAATGTGGTTAGAATTATTTTATGTAAAGTAGTGGTTAGAAATATTTCGTGTTATACCGTTATGTAGAAAGGATGCGTTAATTATATGCACATGTGTAATGATATATTTCTGTATGTACTTTATGCAGACAGTTCATATAAGCGAAATTGAATTCCAGTCTATAATGCACGATCAACAATAGATATCTACAATGTACAGATATCTATTAATCGTGCTGATATTAGAATCAGTTTTGTTTTTAATATTTTTTTATTAAATATACGCGTGTATTACATGCGTATTGATTGTAATATCAATGAAACACTCAACACTAGGAGAAAAGAAAATTAAATATCTTAATGTTTTTAAAAATAATCTAAAAATAATTTAAAAATTAAACAGATACTTATTTATTGATTTACAATATGTTATACAATAATCTGTACATTTAGAAAAAAAGTTGCAAAAAGCGAAATTTGCCAATTTTTGTTATAGTAGTCAAACGCCTTACACATTCAGCTATGCCATTGAATTCGGAAGGTTTTGAAAAATCATAATATATGAGGTACACGAGAAACTTTACATTCAATTTTGTTGTAAATGCTGAGAGTTGCATCTGTACTATACTTTAGTGAGAATATAGTACTACAATTTATATTATTTCATAGCATATTTTAAGCTCATAAAATCTGAGAGGATAATTTATGAAAGTTTTCTAATTAGCACATCCTTTTTTTCCTTTTCATTACAAAATTCTATTATCACCGATCAATCAATATATTTATTCCTGTATTATTGTTTCTCAGATCGGACGATATTGGAGTAAAGAGGAGCGTAAACGGCAATTAGACCGCGCACGCGAACGCAAACAACGACAGCAAGAGGTAATAGTGCAACAGCAGCAGCAACAACAACAACAACAACAACAGACTAACGATCAACTAATATGCGAACATATAGAAGACAAAGTGTTAAAGAAGCCATTGACTATCGTTGAGCTGAGTCACAAGAAAATGGCGCGTAAAAAAACCACTCTGGACGATTTCACCACTGTACAAGAAATGTTGGTTCATGGAAACAGAGTGGGTGCAGGTGGGCCTGGCACAGGAGGAAAATTAACGGGCCTTCTGTCGGTTACTACGGTGTAAGCTATATCCATTGCGTATTCTCAGTTCATCAAAGTTGATTGTTGATCATAGACTTCTATGTGTTACTAGACTGTTAACTATATACATACATATACATACATATACATATATATACATATATGTACACACACGCGCGCGCGCGCGCACATGTGTGTATATATATATATATATATAAAAGCAAATATATATATATATATATATATAAGACGACTGACTTTTTATGTACTAAGCAATTATGTAGAATTATTCATTCTGCGCATGCACTTTGATGCGTATACAAGCTAGGTTTGTTTTGCACTCTTTCGTGCTGTTCTATCTTTATTTCTCATTATGAAGCAAAATAGAATGATACTTTCAGCATGAAAGCAAAATAAATTTAACCATAGGCATTATGGTGCAAGTATGTATAAGCCCATTATAAATACAATGCATATCATATTATTAAATATATAATTGATATAATTATAGATAATACTTACCTAAAAAAGGCGATTTTTATCTTTATTCATAATACTGTCATATATACAAATAGCACACTATATTGCTGACACAACATTTAACTTTTATAATATTTTTTTAAAATTTCTTTTCGCACATGCTTTTGATGGATGTGATTCATATGTTGATATGTGACAGTTTGATTAGAACTATTTCAAATATATGTTACACCCATATATGTTACAAATATATGTTACACCGCTATGTAGAAAGGGCGCGTTAATTATATGCACATGCGCAGGGTGAGATACTTCTGTACATATTTATACAGATATTTTATATAACAAGAAATTAAGGGAGGTAGCAGTCTAGTAATGTATAAACATCTGTATTGTTGATCGCACAAGTATTAAAATCAGTTTTGTTTTTAATGACATTTTTTTGCGCATGTGTTGACTGCTATCTCAGTGAAGCACTCAACTTATGAGAAGAAGAAAATTTTGAATGTCCTAATATTTCTAAAAGTCGAAAAACATTTTAAAAATTAATTATATATATATATATATATATATATGTTATATATAATATTATGTGTGTATATATGTATATATGTGTATATATAAGTGTGTGAGTGCATGCGTGCGCGCACGCGCGCGTACACACACACACACACACACACACACACACAATGTCACGATGACAATGTCTGTGCGGGAATGCCGGAACGATCTCGAAACTGAAATCCGATATACGAATAACATTGACAGAACTTTGTAGAAAATTAACAGCTTAATAAATGAAGAAGAGTTTATTGCTCTTGGAATACCGTGTAATGATAGAAAACAATATAGAAAGCATGTGTCGATAACGAATATTCAACTAATCATACTGTTACGGAAAAGTAAGTTATGAGCAAGTTACGAATTAAACCCGAATAAAGTGACGATATGATAGCGCGCATATCGATAGCCACGCGGATGTATGTTGAACCGTTATTTTGGCGTATTCTAGAACATCAGATGCAACAACGTCGATGAGCGAGTATTTCGCGCGTGATGAATATTACACAAAAGCGTTTGATCGTGTGTCCTATTCGCATGTCAACAGCGAATTCATTTACGAGGCAATGGAATCTTCTGAAAAAGATTAGTGGATCAAGATTTATGGACTAATGGATACATTTAGTATTACAATTCACATACAAGAGCGCACACAAGATGTTATAATACTGAATGTACCTATTTAATATCACCGCATTTAGTGTGATTTAGGACCAATTGTAAAGAGCCGATATAAAGAGCTGATATAAAGAGATAACATCATCTTATGAGTCAACGCAGCATGACTAAGCATCCGATAGGCCATTCATGGATAACATCATTAATTATTGATTTGTTAGACGATTTCAGTGAATTATATACTATACTGAAACGGAAATTGTTAAGCAAACACGCTAAGCAACAAAAGGAAAAAGACAGGTTGATTAGGGACCATTTTGTCTCTGTCTAACGAATTTTGATCGATTAATGATTTTGTTTTTTATTATAAACATCAGTTTTTTTAATCTTCTTAATTCGATTGACTAGTCGATAGCTGTCAAATACTTTCATATGACTGCAGCTTGTTATTAATCTTCATATAATTATAATTATTATAAAATATATAAACTTATTATGTATAAAGATCTACTTTACTGAAAAATAAAATAAAATTGATAAAATTGCTTGTTACATGTTGCATTGCAATGAATAAAATCAATGAATATCACAAACTATTTTGTTGTTTTATTGCTCGGTCTTTTTATCGTTTATATATACAAGATGAATCTTAATAGTTGTCTCAACGTTTTATGATAGGAGATAATTACAATTACAACTGTAATCTAAACGGCCGCTCATGACAGTTGCTTGAGTCAATAATATTTTATGAATATTTTTATAGAATAATTATGTAATTGTATTTTTCTATATAAAGCGGTATTCTATTAAATATTTTTAACATATAAGAATAATAAGAAATTAAAGATAATAACAGTGGACTTTGACACCACTTTTGAGATTTCATTCTTGGCGTGTTAGGTTTTTTCTTGAAAAATGTTGGATCGAAAACTGAACTTAAACTCGGACTCATGAACTCGTTCATAACACGATACAATTTCACACACATTTTCATCTTTCTCTTCTTCTTCCTTTTATATAACCATAGCTTCTTTACGGAGCCAACACTAATCACAATTCAAAAAGTAAATAATCAAAGCGATAATTGTGAACAAACTGAAAGTGCATGATGACGCATACAAAAATTTTCTGAGCGGAGAAAACACGTTCGACCCACACAATGATCCAAAAGTGATTATAGATATAATTATAGATATATAATTTAGATATTAGATTAGATATGACAAAATAAGCAGAGCTACCAAATAATTTTTTGAGTTAGTAGTATTGACGTGCATTACATACTAAACTTAGATTTTTGTTGTGTCGAGTAGTGTCACTGTTGAAACACTGTGTCACTGTTGAAACGTTGGAACGTGTTCTGGTAGAATAATTTCTCGTACATCTTTAGTTTTATCAACGTTATTACTCGTTGTGCTTAATATTATTTTATCTAAAAGCTTCCGTTATTTCAATATATTTATAATTTTCTCATGTATCTTTTTTCTTTTTGTAATTTAATTCTGTTCTCGTAAAATTGTTTTGCTTTTTGGACACAGCTTGTTTTTCCTATTATTTCTCCAAGATTAGGTTCTTATTCTGTACAATTTAGAACTTTACTTTTGTAAATGTTTGACTTTGTGTTATATCTTTGCAAAATTGTACTTGCGTTTGGAATAATCTTTCTAATTTATTTTGTAATTCTGCGATATTTTGACCTTCATTCTGAGATAATATTTGAACATTATTTTGCAATTCAGTAATATTGTTTTGTAATATTGCAATATCTTCTTGCTGTTTCAATATTATTTGTTCTTGATTTTCTATTTTATTCATTATTTGAGCAACTTTTTCTTCACATAAAATTTTATATGATTTTTGAATAACTTTTTCACATGGACTTTGAATAGTCTGTTCTTTGCATAAATTTTCGCATGAATTTTGAATAGTCTGTTCTTTACATGGCTCTTCACATGGACTCTCAATAATTTGTTCTTCGCATGGATCAGATGACGAATCTTCTGTCATAAATGGAATAGCAAACCGATTCAATTTACAAATCTGAATTCCAGTATAATCATTTTCATGAATGATGTTTGTAACAAACCCGTAATTTATGAACTTCGGTCTCATTGTATGCCTTGAGCACCAAATTTTGCCACTTGTTACGTATTTCTAAATTCGTAGACACATGAAAAGTGATGCCTGTAGATAAACATCCAAATTCGCACCACATTTATAACACAACACACAATTTTAACTTTATATAATGTTACTTTAATTTTATTCTCCAGTTACTTTAACCTTGCAGTCTGTTGCAGACTTCTATATATTTATCAATATAGTGGAATATTTAATTCTCATCTTAGCCCTGTAAGAATGTGATAGCACTACAAACACTGGCAATTGAAGAACAATAGGAGTTTGTAACCCCTGATTGAGACCGGATTTAAATTAAAAAAAAAAAGAAAAAAAAACTAATTTTAAGTTTAGTGAATTTTGTCTGAATTGGTTAAATTCCAATCTAATCTTAATTTTAATTTTTTCTGACACAGACATAAAAGGTATGCTTGAGGAACCACACGTCATATAAATATAAATATAAATCATATCTCATTCTTTAGCATATAATACGTATGTGTCATTAACTTGATTTTTTTTTTAAATAGATCACAGATATTAAATCTTGCACTGTTCATATTTATATATACTGTCATTATAACTTTATATATTTTAAGATACATGCATATATGAAAAGAAATGTGAGTATGAATAAATATGACGACTCGACAAATCAATTACCATATACTTCTTAAGGAGTTTATCGTATAAATATATATACTTGGAAATCACGATAAATATAAAATATTATGAATTGTAGAAAATACATTGTATACCTATGAGCAAGATTGTACGTATTATAAATGCACAATTGTACATATATATATATATATATATATATATATA